GGGGGAAGGGGGCGCGCGGAGGCTGCGCCCCGGCGGGGCCACGCGGGAGGCTGGGGCCCGGGCCGGGCGGAGCCAGCGAGCCATGGGGGAGGCGGCCAGCCCCGCGCCCGCGCTCTGGGACTGGGACTACCTGGACCGCTGCTTCGCCCGCCACCGCGTCTGCATCTCCTTCGGCCTGTGGATCTGCGCCTCCTCCTGCTGGATCGCCGCCCACGCGCTGTAATGGGGACCGGGACCGGGCGGCGCGGGGGAGGGGGCCGGGTCAGCGGCGGGGGGTGCGGGGCGACGCCTCCCGCCAACTCCCTCCTGGAAACCTGGAGGGAAGGGGGCATAAAGGGGGGAGGCAGGAGGCAGCGCGGTGCCAGGATCGAAACGACCCTTCCGCTGTGGACTGAAGTCGTATAGGACTTCTTTCCGGATTCCGTGCACAGGGAGGGGGAGGCTGGGCTGTGGGCCAGTAGGAAGAGGCCGGGTCGTGAGGTGCGTGGAGCCCTCGAAGGCAGCCGCGAGTCCTGGGTTCTATTGTCACCCTTTCCCCATCGACCGGAGGTGTGAGCTGGGCAAGCTGTAAAGCCTCAGAGCCTCATTTTCCTCACCTAAACGGGGTTAATAACTGATGGGACGGATGGCAGGATTAAATGAGTTAGTTTCCGTAAAGCTCTTAGTATGTGCTCATTAAACATCCTTATTATTGCTCCTGTCCTGCCACCAACCTTTGGCAGAGGGCAAGGACCTTGGACAAGGCTCTTGGCGTTTCTGGTCTCCCTTTACCCCAGGCCCTCTGATCTGGGGAGGGGGACTGGCTGTGATCTGACTCTGGCCAGTACCTGGAGCCATCTGGTCAGGTGGTCACCATAACCTGGGTTCTATGAAGTCTGGCTAAAGATGGCCTCCAGGTCTTCGTGCACCCTGTCCCAAGCTGGTGCAACCCAAGTATTCCCTGGCAGAGGAGAAAGGATCAGCACCCCGGGGGAGGTTGGCACCTGCTCATCTTAGGCACTCTTAAGATGATATTTGATATTGCTGCAGAGATCTGGCAACCCCCCTACCCAGTCATCGGAACGCAAATGAAAAGACACTTGGAACATTTAACGTGGGCCTAGTGTTGCATTTATTAGCTCATGTCTTCCCTACCACAACCCCACGAGGGAGAGACCGTTATTACTCCCATTTACCCCCCGAGGAAGCTGGAGGTTCTGACAGCTTTACTAATTTGCCCTAGCGAATGGAAAGAACCGGACCGCCAGACCCTTTTCGAAAGGGGCAGACTTGTGAGGATTAAACTGTCCAGATCAGAGGTGGACACCAACGAGCCACTCTCTGTGCGTTATCTCATTTGGTCCTCACAGCCGCCCTGAAGTCAGCAGTATTGGACATTTCCTGAGCTGGAAACTGAAGGTGGGAGGGGTTAGGTAACTCCGTTGAGAATGCCCAGCCAGTCAGTCTGATGAGAGCCGAATCTGCTTTTTCAGCCTGCCTCAGTCTGGACACACCCATCTGTTGTCAGGACTTTGCCATCCCCGAGCCTCCTCTTGTCCTTGGGGAATGTGTATCCTCCCAGCTGTGTGTGGCCTGGGGTAGGGTCAGCCCGGATCCCTGACCCGAGGGCTGGGGAAATGGCTAAAGAACAGCAGGGTACATGGGGCGCCTGGGTGGCGCAGTGGGTTAAGCGTCCGACTTCAGCCAGGTCACGATCTCGCGGTCCGTGACTTCGAGCCCCGCGTCGGGCTCTGGGCTGATGGCTCGGAGCCTGGAGCCTGTTTCCCATTCTGTGTCTCCCTCTCTCTCTGCCCCTCCCCTGTTCATGCTCTGTCTGTCTCTATCCTAAAAATAAAAATAAACGTTGAAAAAAAAAATTAAAAAAAAAAAAAAAAAAGAACAGCAGGGTACAGAGAAAGCCTCCACATGTGAAGCCAGAGGGTCGGCCACTAACTCAGCTGGTCACCATCGGCCTCACTTTTCTCCACTCTCTAATGGGAGGGTTGAAATAAACTATTTCTTTTCTTTTTCTTTTTTAAGCCTTTGTTTTTTTGAGAGACAGAGACAGAGCATGAGCAGGGGAAGGGGCAGAGAGAAAGGGAGTCACAGAATCTGAAGCAGGCTCCAGGCTCTGAGCGGTCAGCACAGAGCCCGGCGCGGGGCTCGAACTCATGAGCCGTGAGAGCATGACCTGAGCCGAAGTCGGACGCTCAACCGACGGAGCCACCCAGGCGCCCTGAAATAAACTATTTCTAATCTGAATCCAACTCAGAGAGTCTCTAGAGCCTTCACGCTTAGGCTTTGAATTGGTGCCAGGAGCCCAGGGCCTAGATGAAAGGTTGCTGTTCTCACTGTGAGCTCTGGGCTTCGTCTGGCAGATCAGGAAATGTTCTGGAACCCAGCAGCCTTCCATCCCCATCCCCTGCTCCCAAGGGCCGACCCTCAGAACCAGGCAAACAGTCTAACCGTGAGGAGTGAGTACCACCCTGTGGTTGATGGAAATAAAACAAGAAGTGCAGTTATCCCGGCCCAGATATGTAACATGGAAACATCTAGAACAAAGTGTTTCTGAGATCCGATCAGGTGTTTCTGAGAGACCTCTGACTCCTTCCATCCTGTTGTGCCTTTCTGTGCTTGTTCTAGGGGAGTGGGGTGGGGCAGGAAGAGGGGAATAAGGGAGAGAAACCAGCAGTGGGCGACTATAGGGAGAGGTCAGCCCAAAGTGCCATGGCATCTTCGAGGAGTTTTGCTCTCCGTGTATGTTAAGAACATGCTCGGGGCGCCTGGGTGGCTCAGTCGGTTGAGTGTCCGACTTCGGCTCAGGTCATGATCTCGTGGTCCATGAGTTCAAGCCCCGCGTCAGGCTCTGTGCTGACAACTCAGAGCCTGGAGCCTGTTTCAGATTCTGTGTCTCCCTCTCTCTGACCCTCCCCCGTTCATGCTGTGTCTCTCTCTGTCTCAAAAATAAATAAACGTTAAAAAAATTAAAAAAAAAAAAAAAAAAAAGAACATGCTCAACTTGACAAGGGCCAGCAAAAGCCCAGCCGCCCCACTGCACACATGAACTCCTTAGCAGGATTTCACTTGAATTGAAAAGAAACAAGTTGCCTTTTTAATTTAGGCAATTATCTGTACTCTGCAGTTAACCACAGTGATTGGGTTACTTTTATAACCCACAAGCTTCCTTTCAAAAAATAAAACCCCATAGTTAGTTTGTTAGCATTGAGTGGTGGGTCATGAACTTGAGTTGGCCAGATTTGTAGGAGGAAAGAAATGCCTCTTCGTTAGAGAGGCAGGTCTGGCTCCTGCCATGGGCTGGTTCTGGAGTCTTTGATCCTTTATTTTCCCATCTATAAACTAAGTTCAGAAATACCTGCTGAATATCTGGGGGAGAGAGTGCCTCACGAGGACACAAAATCACAGTTGCCCTCTGCAGACACCTGCATTGGGAACCCACTCATGGCTCCCGCGTTCCGTCCATACCCATCCACACCCCCGTCTGTCACCACAGGCTTCTCTATCTGAGGTGTACAAAGAAATCCGGACGGGACCAGTCAGCGCTGTGCGCGGCATGCTGCCTCCTGACCAGCCTGTGTGACACCATCGGAGCGATTCTGGCCAGACAGCTCACGATCCAGGTGCGTAGGGCCCACAGGGTGACAGTAGTTTCTGTCTAGTTCCCTCACCATTGAGGTACGGTCTCACCTCATGCCCGCGCCCCTGTTGGTCTGTCTGCCCCTGCCCAGTGCCCCTGCCCTGATAGCCACAGGGCTCACTGCTCACCTCCTTCAAGTCTTTGCTCAAAAGTCACCTTCTCGATGAGGCCTAACCAGAGCACTCGTGTAGACTTGTGCCCTCCCTCTACCGCAGGTGCTCCGGACTCCTTCATCCTGCTCCGTTTTTTCCCAAAGTGGACCACCCACCCCCCCCCCCCAATACACCATCTATTTTACTGAGTGTGTCTGTTGCTCATTGAACTACTAGTGTGCCAGTTCTCCGGGGGCAAAACTTTGTATTCACTACCGTATCCCCATCCCTTAAAACAGCAGCTGGCACATCGTAGATGCTCCATCAGTAGCGATTGTTGTGGTCATTGTTTTTAGAGCCTGGAGCCCAGCCTCAGTTCAAACAGGGGTGGCTGAGTGCTTTCCCAAGTGGTAATGCAGGCCTGGGGGCAAGTGAGAAACAGTTTCAAGCTCTTCTGAAGTCTAGGCCCTCAAACCTGTGTAGATGGGGCCTGTCCCAAAACACATATCCCAAAGGAATGTGCCCTGGAGAGGCACCTCATGGGGCTGGCACCCACCCAGGTAGACATGGAGGAAGGCGGCCTCATGGCCGGGATACACACCTGGGAGTTCTAGACCCTGCTTCAAACAGTATTGTCTCACAAACAAACCACCTTTCATTCTGGGTGCCCATTCTCATTGGCTGCTGGAACCCAATGATGCTCAGCCCGAGTCCAAGAATAGTAGCTGATGTTTATTAAATCCTTCGCTGCGGGGGCGCCTGGGTGGCTCAGTGGGTTGAGCGTCTGACTTCGGCTCAGGTCATGATCTCACAGTTCGTGAGTTCGAGCCCCACGTCGGGCTCTGTGCTGACAGCTCAGAACCTGGAGCCTGCTTCGGATTCTGTGTCTCCTCCCTAACCTGTGCTCTGTCTCTGTCTCTCTCAAAAATAAATAAATGTAAAGAGAAAAAAAAATCCTTCATTACGTGCTTGGCAATGAGGGCTTGTCACGCAATCACTCATTTAATCCTCGAATTATCTTAGGACGTAGGCTCTCTCCTTATCCCTGTTTTACACATGTGGACACTCAGACTTAGCGGCTGAACAACTTTGGGAAGGATCCAGTAAGCAACAGTGGCAAGATCCAGACTCCAGAGTTTGCTCTTCACCACTGTTACATTGGCATAGTAGCTGGTGCGTTTGTGGGTAGGAGCCTTGTGCTTTCCTGCTTGCCGGTGCTGGTCTAAGCACTTTCCCTGTAGTGCTTCATGTAATCTGCTTAGCACTGAGAGAGGCACCATGACTACCCCTGTTTTACAGACGATGAAACAGAGGCCCAGAGAAGTCCAGCGGTTGGGCCAGAGTCACACAGCAAAGAGTAACCGTGTACCGGAAAGAGCACGGCGTGGGAAATGGAGGGCGGGTTCTGCGGATGGGCCTCCACGTAAGGGATTGCTCGTTTCAGCACCCCGTTCTCCTTGTCAGGCAAATAGAGGTGATGACCAGCCTTTCCTGGGGTTGGCAGGCGGCTTCGGAGGAAGTACCTCATCAGGGGCAGAGGAGATCCAGGATGACAGGTGCTGTGATTGCTGGAGAATGTTTGGACGCCATGACTCTATTTCCTTTGCCCCCAGGTTTTCACGGGTGCCTACCTAGCAGCTGTTGACTTGGTGAACTTTGTGTTCATCCTCTTCCCGGTCTGCGGCTCCAAGTTGAAGTCTAATTTGGGTGAGTGTGTGGCCATCTGTTCCTGTCTTCATTCATCAGTGCGCCAAGCGCCTACTCCCTGTCAGGCTTCAGCTGGGCCCCTGCCAGGCACGGACACATGAATGAGCTCGGAGACCCCACCCAGGGCCGAGAGACGGGGCCCTAAACGGTCATTAATGCTGCTTGCGAGGAGGTGCGTGCACACTGTGGGCAGCCAGAGGGAAGGATGTGACGTTAGATCAGGGGCCACAGGGAAGGGTATTCCAGGTGAAAAGAACAGCATGAGCGAAGGCCAGGAGGATGGGTGTGCATGACTGGGGGGATGAACAGTGATATCTCAGTTTGTGAACCTGGGTTGGCCAAACACAGCCCCGTAACTTCCAGAAATGGATGCCAGGAATGGGCGCAGGCTACCTCAGGCAGAGTGGGGGCTGGAAGTTACTGAGGTAGGATGGGTCGCCCTGAGTATGCCGGACTGGGCGTTCTGAGAAGGGGCAGCCGTGTGCCCCCGCCGTGGTGCAAAAGGGGAGTGCTTGCATCAGTGGGGTAACGTAAGATCCCCAAGCTGCTCAGCGCTGCCCAGAGGAGACGTGTTCCTACTACAGTTCTCGGAGGACTGTCTGTCTCATATTTCAAGGAGACTTCCAAGACCGTGCTCCTTTTTGGCTCACAGCTCAGGCCCTGGCACAAACACCGTGATGCATTCTCCAAAGCTGTGCCGGTTCAGCTCTGTGCCAGGCTCTGTGGAGATTACAGAAACTGCTGGCCCTCGGGGGGTTCCAGTCTCGCAGAGGCAACTCTGTGTGCACAGACACGTGTGAAAAGAAAATGCTTTGAGGGCCGAGGAAGAAGAGCACCAGTCGTGCGAGTGGGTGGGTGGGTTGAGGTGGTGGGGAGGAAAGATTCCTCCAATGGGGTGCCAGAGCTATGGGGCCTTGAAGGGTGGAGAGGATCTGGCCTGTCGAGCAACGTGGGAACCCGCTCTGGCATCGGAGATGGGCGCACACCGGAGATGCAGCTCTCCGTTGAGTTCTAGACCCCAGGGGCCTGTGGGATTTTGGTATTTGTTGCAGGTCGGGGCTCCCGGGAGAGGAAGAGGAGGCAGCGGCTCAGGGCCAGTGTCTTTGCTCTGGCCCTGCCGCTGAGCCTGGGGCCAGGCTGGGCTCTCTGGGCCACCGTCCGGAAGGCGTCAGGCCCTGTCCGAGGGCCCCAGCGGAGGCTACTGGAGAGCCTGCTGCAGGTGAGGCCGAGCCTGCCCAGGAGGGCGTGGGGATATGCATTCCCTTCCCTCTTCACGGCCCCAACAAATGCCCTGGGCAGGGGCAGGGGCAGGGGCAGCCCTAGCCAGAAAATACTAAAAGCGGGAAAGGATGGGCTGTCTCCTCAGGGCGCTGAGTGTATCACCTGTTCCCTCAGGACAACACTGAAATCTTCGGCTACCTGCTGGGTGCCATCGCTGCCTTCGGCTCCTGGGCTTCCCGAATCCCCCCGCTCTCCAGAATCGTGAGGCTGGGTCGGGGCTGGGGCTGTGGGTCGCCATGGCAGGTCTTACCGAGTCCTGGGGTGGAGGGGTTGTGTCGTGTGTGTGCATGTGTGCACGTGGAGGGGGTGGGCCGCCCACCCAGGGGAGGTCCTGAGGTCTGCGAGAGCCTCTCACAGGGGAGCGCACTGAGTTCTCTCCAGAGCAAAGGAAAAGCAGGCTGTCAGGAAGAAGGCATTGGGGTTCGATAAACAAACATTCCACTAGGAAACGAGAAGGTTTTAGAGGAGAGAATCCTGCAGGTATTGGGATTCCATCTGGGAGCATTTTGCTGCAGATACTGTCCAGGCATCCAGGGTGAGGAAAGCCCTGTGTTGGCCAGTTCTGTAGGGGACTTGACATGTGACTGGAGATGTGACTGGAGATGTGACGGGAGATGCTGTGCTTACCCTTGGGAAGCTCCCAGTCTCATGGAAGACATGGAAATGCAAAGCAGAATATTTTAAATGTTTATTTATTCATTTTGAGAGAGAGAGAGGGAGAGAGAGAATTCCAGCAGGTTCCACACTGCCAGCACAGAGCCCTACTCAGGGCTTGATCTCAAGAACCATGAGATCATGACCTGAGCTGAGATCAGGAGTTGGATGCTCAACCGGCTGAGCCACCCAGTCACCCCAAAAGCAGGTTATTTTAATGCTCGAAGAAAGATAGAATCAGGTGTTAGGGGGTTCGCAAGAGGGAGAGAAGGCTCCTATGCTATTCCTATGAGTGAGGGTGAAAACTTCACACTGCCTGGTAGACGGGGCCAGAGACGCTTCCCGTTGGCTCCGAAGGGAAGGCGAGATTGGAGGAGGCAGAGGTGAGGGAGGGAAAGTGGAGAGCACGCGGGAAAAGCCACTGAGGCAGGAAGAGCAAGATATCGTGGGTGTGCAGAACTGCTCCGCTGTGCCGGGCTGGCCTCCCTGACAGGAATAATGGCCAGGCCTAACACCGGAAACGTGATGGGCCATCACTAGGTCTAAAGAAACCGCTTGCCCCAGAGCATCATTTAACAGCAGTTCCAGGATTTGGGTGTGGGGGGGCAGGTGCTTAGTTGCTCATTGGTAGGAAGCTGATGCCTGTGCTGTCATGGCCACAAACCTCACGGGTGATGGGGCCTCCCAGCAAAGGCGCTGCCTCCGGATCAAGGGAGGGGAGAGTGGGGAGCCCCTGGGACGGTGGGGCTCGAAGCTGCGTCACGTGAACACCTTCAGAGGGGCTGGTACAGTGCCTGGCTGTATTAGTTTCCTGGGGCTGCCATTAGAAAGTATCACAGACTTTGAATAGCAGAAACGTGTTGTCTCAAAGTACTAGAGGCCAGAAGTCCAGTATCAAGGTGTCCGCAGGGCCGTGCTCCCTCTGAAGGCGCTAGGGAAGGATCTCTTCCAGGCCTCTTTCTAAATTTCTGGAAGTTCCTTGGCTGATGGCCGCATAACTGCGCAACTCCAGTGTTCGCATGGCGTTCTTTCTCCCTGTGTGTGTCCTCACATGGCCTTCCCTCTGGTCGTGTCTGTGCCCAGGCTTCCCTTTCATAAGGACACGGTCATATTGGATGAGGGTGCAGTCTAATGACCTCATCTTTAACGTGATCATCTGCAGGGATCCTATTTCCAAAGAAGGCCACATTCACAGGCTCTGGAGGTTGGGACTTCAACATCTTTTGAGAGAGGGGAACTCGGTTCAACCCCTGACACCACCCACCTAACATAGCCCCAGGCCAGCCCCACCACTGACCTTCACTCCGCTACATTTTATTCACGGCCTTGGTCACAACCTGAAATTAGCTCCTTCAGTTATTTACCAAGTTGGTCCCAGGTAGGACATCAGCACCATGAGAGCAGTGGTCTTGTCTGTTTTATTTCCCCTGTATTCCAGGTGCTGGGAGCCTGCTCATGGTAGGTGCCAGCACACTCTCAAATGAGTTACCTAAGGGGTACCTGGATGGGTGGCTCAGTCGTTTGGACGACCAACTCTTGATTTTGGCTCAGGTCATGAGCTCATGGTTTGTGAGATGGATCCCTGAGTCGGAGTCTGGGCTGACGGCATAGAGCCTGCGTGGGATTCTCTCTCTCTCTCTCTCTCTCTCTCTCTCTCTCTCTCTCTCTCTCTCCCTCTCTGCCCCTCCTCCACTTGTGTGCGCATGCATGTGTGTTCCCTCTCTTTCAAAAGAAATAAATGAACATTTAAATGATAATAATGATGCTAGCGAGTGACATAATCTGGTCTGGAAAAAAAGAAGCTTATGGATGCAGGAACCAGAAGAGCCGTTTGGGGGCAGAAAGAGCAGCTTTGTTCTCTGTGGTCTTGGGAAATAGAAGCAAAACCAAGAGTGGAGAGAGGTTATGGGGGGGGTCCACATCCCACTTATGGGTTAGATGCTTTGCATGGCTTCTGGCATATTGAGAGCAATTAGTATTGTTATTCTTGCCTTAGGAGCTAGTGGACTCCCCATCACTAAAGGCATTCAAGCCTGATGGCCCCTTGGCAGGAAGATAGAGTTCGATTGTATTAAGGATAAAGTTGGGCAATCTCTGAGGCACTGCCAGCCGTGAGTATCTCTGGTTCCATAAAGAAGAACCCAGAGCTAGGGTCCCCTTATTAGGGAGAAACTCAGCAGGGTTTGGGGTGTTCTAGGCAGCCTAGCCAGCATGGCCTTGAACCCTAGATCCCCAGAAGCTGCTTCTAATTTACCCCTGCTGGGGGTGCTGAGTTGCAGAATGGCTGGGTGGCTTTGGTGGAAGAAGTTTCCATTCTTTCAGGAGTGCTTGAACAGAGCAAGGGGCATGACCCACCCGCTGACCAGTATGGGGTTGTGCTGGCAGCACTGGGACCCGTCGCTGCTGCAGGAGCTGACGTACGTCCTGCTTCGAGCACCCCGCAATCGTTTTGCCGGGTAGCCACCCTGAGTTCTGTGTGACCAGCCAGACGAAGCCCACATGTGCTGGACAAAGACCTGCCGTATCTCCAGTCGGCAAGCCAGTCCCAGTCTTCAGCAGCTGCTAAGCACCTACAGAGTGTCCAGCGTGTAGGCAGACAGAACCCAACAGGCCCCAGGACTGACCAGGAAGAGAGATGGAGTTTTGAAGTCAGTAAGCTCTGTGCGCGGGTTGGCACATGAATGACGGCAGAGAGCCCACGCAGAGCAGCAGCAAGTGCGAGTCAAGAGGCTGAAGGCAGTTCCCAGCCCTGACCCTGCAAGTCACTGGCCATCAGTGTCCTCTATAAATGGGGGTCAGTAGCCTGGGGAACCCCTGAGGGTTTCTCACCCCAACAGTGCTGTCTGGGACAGAGCCACTTCCTGGGCTGAGTCAGGTGGAAGGGGACAGGGCTGCTTCCCGGTGTCAGGTGGGAAGGGCCTCTGGGGCCGACAAGCCAGGGGCCACCCTCCCCAGCCTGGCTGCTGTCTCTGTTAACCAGTCTTCAGGGCAAGGCTAAAAACAAAATAACCAAAAACAGGAAACCCTGGGAACCAAACCTGAAGAAATGCAAAGGAAAGTGTAACACTCCCAAGGAATCTTTTTGAGAGTTAAAATAAAAATGGGGAAAATCAGCCAAACCTTGCTTTTTCCTCTGAAAGTTTTTCAATCTCTAGCCAATACCTGTATATCTCTAAATACAGTTATTTAATGAGTAAAATAAATTACATATAATTTATACTTCTATAGATTTAAATATACTATGTTATTATATACAATTGAAAATATACAGTATTTGTGTATATACATATAAATGTATACATAAGGTGACTTCATACCTGTAAAAGGTATTTAACATTTAAATATTGAATATGTTTCTTTTTTTTTTTTTTTAACCAATATTGCCATCACTCTTTCTCCAAAAATGTTCCCTTGGCTTCAAAACTTCCAGAATGTCACCTCTAATTGTCCTTACTTTTTCCGGCTGGCCAGGTTGAGGATTGGTGGTCCCAGGAAGAGAAGTCAATCCTTACCTGTTCATATTTCATCAAAAGTCCCTCCTGTTCTCTCAGGTGACACTCGTGAGCCACTACCCAGTGCCAGGGGTTAGGGGTGCCGAGATGGGCAGGACCCCAGCCCTGCTTTCAGGAGCCCTCTGTTGAGATGTGTCATGTGTAATGGAGCCTAGAATGGGAGTTATTCACCCCTGTTAGGGTGGAGGTGTATAGAAGGCTTCTTTTTTTTTTTTTTTTTAAGTTTATTTATTTATTTCGAGAGAGAGAGAGTGAGCACAAGTGGGGGAAGGGCAGAGCCCAACGTGGGGCTCGAACTCACCAACTTTGAGATCACAACCTGAGCCGAAACCAAGAGTTGGACACTTAGCCAACTATGCCACCTAAGTGTGGGGGGGCGGGGGGTGGGTTTGTTAGAGTTGAGCTTACGCCAGGTTTTGAGGCATGAATAGGAGTTCACCAGGTAAAGGAAGCAGCTTGAGCAAAAGCTGGAAACCTAATAGAAGCAGCACCTTTGGGGACTGGCCATGGGCAGAAGGCTTGCGCTCCAACCTGCCAAGGGCAGGACCAAAGGCCTAGATCTTAGAATCCTGCTCCGAGGGGGCTGGAGGACAGCAGTGTTCCTGCACAGCTCCCTCCTCTCTCTGTCCAGTGCCAGGGTAAGGCATTTCCCTCCATCCACCTGTGGACCCGGCTCCTGTCGGCCCTGGCGGGCCTCCTCTATGCCTCGGCCATTGTGGCCCATGACCGGCGGCCTGAGTACCTGCTTCGGGCCACACCCTGGTTCCTGACCTCCCTCGGCCGTGCTGCACTGGACCTCTCTGTATCCACGCTGGGCCTAGGGGGCTTGGCTGCTGGTGTCTCATCTCCCCCTATCCCTGCGGTGCCCTCCTTCCTTATGGCTAGATGGCACTCTCTCCCAGGGGGGCCAGGGAGGAGGTTTGAAGCCTGGGGCAGACAGATGCAATGGCAATCATTTGCAATTTTGTATTTTGTTCCCTTTATATATATACTATATGGAGCAATTATCTCTTGGCTGGAGCTCTGAGAAGCCGCAAGCGGGGGTGTGCAGGCCCCAGGAGCAGACCCAGGTTCCAGTCTCAGTGCTGCTCCTCACATGGGCCAGTCCCAACCCTCCTGTGAACCCGTTTTCCTCATCTTTGCCCTGTCTTTCTCACAAGGCTAGGAAGGGGCTTTGCAAGCTGACCTGCCACGCAGGGGTGATCATCCCGTTCTGTTGTCTTTGGCACTGGAACCTTGGGTTGGGGAAGCAGAGATCAAAGCTGACAAGGGCTGCCCTTTGTCAATGACTGTTTTCTGGTTCCCCAGGGGTTGTCGCCTGATGTGATGACACCCCAGTGACCTTGACGTGAGAACCTCAAGGGCAAGCTAAGCTCTGACATTGGGCAGATAGAGAGGTGGACAGCTGGTAATTTGTGTATGAAGCACCTGTGGATTTATCATAAATAGTTTAGAAATCGTTAGAAACTGTGATTTTCTCCTGTGCTGTACTAGTTTTCTGGGGCTGCCCTATTAAGTTACCAACGTTGGTGGCTTGTCACAACAGAAATGTGTTCTCACGCTTCCAGAGGCTACAAGGCCGAAGTCTAGGCAGGGGCACACTCTCCCGGAGGCCCTGGGAGAGAATCTTCCCTTGTTTGTTCCAGCGTCTGATGGCTCCTGGTGCTCCTGGGCTTGGGGCAGTGTAATTTCATTTTTTACCTCAGTCATCACATGTTCTTCTTCCCTTCACATAGCTCTGTGGGTCCACCCTAATCCACTGTGACCTCATCTTAATTATATCGGCAAACACCCCCCCTTTTTTTTAAATATTTTATTTTAAGGGGGAGATGCCTATTTTCTTTTAAATGTTTATTTTTGAGGCCACGTGAGAGCAAGTGGCAGAGAGATGGGGACAGAGGACCTGAAGCAGACTCTGCGCTGACGGCCTAAAGTGGGGCTTGAACTCATGAGCTGTGAGATCATGACCTGAGCTGAAGTCAGACGCTCAACTGACTGAGCCACCGGGGTGCCCTTTAAAAGATTTTATTTTTAAGTAATCTCTACACCCAGCGTGGGGCTCAAACTCACAATCCTGAGAGTTGCATGCTTTTCTGAGCCAGCCAGTTGCCCCAAGACCCTATTTTTTTTTTTAAGTTTATTTATTTATTTTGAGAGAGACAGAGACAGAATGAGTGGGGGAGGGGCAGAGAGAGGGAGAGAGAGAGGATCCCAAGCAGGCTCTGTGCTGCCAGAACTCACAAAACTGAGACCGTGACCTTAGCTGAAACCAAGAGTCGGACGCTTAACTGACTGAGCCACCCAGGCGCCCCTCCCCCGGACGCTATTTTTATTTTATTTATTTTTTTTTTTTAAAGGCTGGCACCGGACATTTTTTTTTTTAATTTTTTTTTCAACGTTTATTTATTTTTGGGACAGAGAGAGACAGAGCATGAACGGGGGAGGGGCAGAGAGAGAGGGAGGCACAGAATCGGAAACAGGCTCCAGGCTCCGAGCCAGCAGCCCAGAACCCGACGCGGGGCTCGAACTCACGGACCGCGAGATCGTGACCTGGCTGAAGTCGGACGCCTAACCGACTGCGCCACCCAGGCGCCCCCCGGACACTATTTTTAAATGAAGTCACTTTTGGAGTTTCCAGATGGATATGAATTTGGGCAGGGGAGGAACACTATTCAACCCACTCCATGTACTGTCCCTTCAAGAGACAAGCCAAGCCCTTCAAGGAAGGTGTTTTTCAAAATGCTTTTGATTAACAAGTATTTACTGAGTGCTTGTTGGGGGGCAAGGTGTTGCTGGCTGCTGAGTCCTCGTGGGGGAAATGTGGAGAAAGTCAGACCTGGCTCTGTTCTTAAATGAGCTCATGTCTGTTTTGGGGCCCACCCAGGCAGGATCATCTGGGGAGAGAGAGCCCTCGGGGTGCAGAGGCGAAGGTAGCCCTGGGTGGCTGAAATGCTGTGCTTTGTTGCACCTTAACTCTACCTCTCAGATCATTTTCCTTTCCTGGGTGATGAAGAGCAAGATGAGACGGGCCTTGGGGTTTGCCCCTGAGGCCAGAGAGAGCCCCGACACCCAGGCCCTTTTGACCTGCACAGACAAAGAGGAAGAAAGCCAGGAGGCAAGGTCTCGCCGGTTGGAAAACTGCTGGGCCCACATCCTGGGTCTGTGCGCAGGATGCTGGGCGTTTCTCGAGCTAGGACAGTTGGTCACTTTAAAAAACGACTACTATTTTTTATGAAAAAAAACCAAAAAACAAAAACCCAAAACGCTACTGTTTATGCCCAGTGCTAAGGATGCCCTGAATAAATAGGATCTTCCACTTTCCCAACTACAACATATTTTTAAATGGGTTTTTGAGATCATTTAATAAACTTTAATGTATTTTGAGCAATGTAGATGAGATAGTTAAATGTCCGCTTAAGCTAGTTAGTAACTTCCTCATATATATAAGTTCACATACTACATAAATTAATAGGTTAATTTAGAAATAATATGATTTTACCCTATTTCATAAAAACACGTATTCCTAGTTGCACATGCGTCTCTGACGTATACATCGTCACCATCACTAACACAGCCCTTTTTTTTTCAGTTGATCTTGCCAAAAAGCTGATCTTTAAAGGTGCTGTTTACAGTAACATCCCCCACATACATCGTACCAGAAAATGTGTTTGTCTCCTTACCGATTTTAACAGGTGACCTAAGTAGGCAGAACTTACTCTCTCAGTTTGTCTTTGTCAAAAGTCCTTGGTTCCAAAAAGCTGAGAAATTGCTTCATGATACAAGAGTGCTTGTAAGGACTTGAACATAAGGCAGCTCCCTCTTTTCTAAGATAATTTCTTGAGGAAAAAATCTCACCTGTTACCTAGGCTCCTCACTGTCCTTGTTTTTCTTCCAGAGAAGGTGAGTGAGTGAACTGGGTCCATCCCTTCGAATATTCTAGGTTTAACAATGTAATCTGACTGAGTTAACGAAACAGAAGATAGTGGTGGGCGCGGCCAAGGTAAAGGGGTTTATGTAAGAGCTTGGACCAAAGCTCCACATTCCCGTGGAGGCTCTAATGGGAGGTTATTTTCATTCTATTCTAGAAACTTGACGAAATTCTATCCCCAAAGGGAGCTAAAGTATTTAAAGAGAGAGAGCCCTGTGTGGCTTGGCATTCTGAAGGGATGACACAGAGCCTTTGCAATGGCTTCCACGGTTCTTTACGAGCTATGGTTTTCAACGTGAGGTCCCCACACCAGCATCGCCTGGGAACTTGCAGGAAATGCAATTCTAGGGCTCCATCAGCTCTACCCAATCTTAAACTGAGGGTGCTTTATTTATTTTTTTTAAATTTAATTTTATTTACTTTGAGAGAGAGAGAGAAAGAGCAAGGGAGGGGAGAGAGAGGGGGAAAGAGAGAATCCCAAGCAAGCTCAGCTCAGATCCTGACAAGGGGCTCAGTCCTAAGACTGAGATCATGACCTGAGCCGAAATCAGGAGTCGGACACTCAACCGACTGAGCCATCCAGGCGCCCCAGACTGAGGGTGTTTTAATAAGTGCACTGGGTGCTTCTGATGCACACTCATGTTTGAGAACCATTGCTTTACAAAAGCATTTAGCACCTACTGCAGTGATTCCCAAACTTGGCCCAAACTTTAGAATCATCTGCAGGGGAGTGAGGGGCTTTGAAACTCTCCAGGTCACGCCCATACCAATTAATCAGAGCGTCTGCTGGGAGAGCTAGACATAAGTTGTTTTGTTTTCTAAGATGCCCAGGTGACTCCACTGTGCAACAAAGTTTGGGAACCCCTGACTACTGTGACATCAAAGACGGAGATAAGATACAGCTTATAGGAAGCAGAAAGGGAGATGGGCCATGAAAAAACAGAAATAATATTTTAGAGAGGCTTTTGAAGGAACGGGATCTTGTTTTTAGAAAAAGTCTCCTGACTGAGAATTCTTTTTACCTCCCCGTCTCCACTTGAAAGAATTCAGACTGGGTGCCTCTCACCACATTACCACCCTGCAAATCACTGAGGACAATGGCAGCCATCAGTCGCTACATGGAGCTGACCATCGAGCCCGTGCAGCAGGTAAGCGGCCGGAGTCCAGAGGGGTGGGGAGTGGTCATGGAAGGCTTGCCGGAGGAGGTGACACTTTAGCTGCAGGATGGGCAGGATGAGACAAGAAAGCATGTAAAAGGAGGCAGGAGGTCTCCAAGGCCTCAGTGGGGGATAGATGAAAGGGTGGAGGGGAGGCAAGCGAGAGATCCTCGTACCGTGCCACCTGACTGTCATCCTGAGGGATAGGAGTCCAGGAGGCATCAGGACTAGAGACTCAGGGTCAGATGCGCCTGTTAGAGGTGTCTCTCCGGCAAGGTTGGGGGGCAGACCAGGGGAGAGGAGGTAGAAACAAGGCAGTCAGTGAGGGGCGCCGATAAGTCTAGGTGAGAGGTGGTGTGGCCTGAAGCAGGGGCAAGGCTGGGGCAGGTGGAGAGGCAGAGACCAAGTGGGGGGTTGGCGGGCAGAGTGCTGGGGGCGTGAGGGTGTAAGGTGAGAGAGGCTGAGAGCTCCCGATGACTCCCGGGGTTCCGGCCTGCACACAGGGCTTCCCAGGAGCAAGAACATTAGAGAAGTGAGGGAAAGAGCTGACAGGAAGTCCGCCCCGTCGTCCCACACCCACTGCGACTTCTCGTGGAGGTTTCCAGTGGCCTCAGGGTCACTAAATCCTGGGTCAGCTCTGTCTTTGTTGAGATTCAACACGCTCGGCCACCGGCTGCTTCTGGCTTATGGGGCGCTCGCGCTCCCAGCTCCCCATGCTTTCCTCCCCTCAGTGTTCAGTCTGGGCACCCGTCCCCACGTGGCATCTCACACTTGCGGTGTCCAAACAGAACGCGGGATTTCCGTGCCCTCTTCCTCCCCCGTCCTCTCATCCTAGGAAATGAATTCCTCTCTCCCCCTCAGTGCATGCCTACGCCCGTCCAGTCCGTGTGTGAGTCTCCTATTTACTTGGTGTAAAATAGATCCCACAGCCTCCTACCTCGTTTCCGTCTCCACTGTTAATCTTGTGCCCCCCCCCCCCCCCCACCTGCACCCTGCAGCCAGGAGGGGCGATTCCTTGTGTTCCTCCTTGGCTTGAAACCCTCTGGCTTCCCATTTCATACAGAAGAAACTCTAAAGTTACACAGACTTGCAAGGCCCCACGAGCGGAGCATTCCCTCTCTCTCTGACTGTGCCCTCGTGTCTTCTCTCTTTGTTCACTCCTCCTAGCTGCCTGGGATTTCCCTCCGTTCCTGTGCCTCCAGTGCTCTTCCTCCCCATTTTTTTTTTTTTATACGGCTGCCTCCTTCCTTTCCTTCAACCTAAATGTCACCTTCTCCAAAAGCCACCCCGGACTGCACACTCCAAAGTAGCCCACACCCCTCTGTGCTATTTCTCTATGTTAAATGTGCCTTACTTCTCGCTGTCTTTTACTTTTGTTTGTTGTCTGTCTCCTGCCGGGGTAGAAACTTTGCCTCTGTCTTGTTTGACGAGACCCTGGTGCCTCGGGCCACAGGCCATCAGTAAAGGATGTTTGGAGCGTGGCATGAAGTTCAGTGGTAGCAGCCGCCGCTCAGCTACCACTGAGGGTAGGTAGCTCATACGGGGCTCAGTAGGAGCTGGGACATACGGGTGCTCGGAGAGTTTGGGCCTGAGAGATAGGTTTCAGTCTTTGCTGTGGTTCCTTGGAAAGTGGGTGCAAGTAACGCTATGTGACATAAGTGTGTTCAGGGAGATTCAGCGCCTGCTTTCACAGGCCCACAGGTTTGAAAGCCCATTTCGGCCATTAAACCCCTCTTAGATGGGAAGTCCGGGGAAGGCACAGGGAACCCCGGCAGCATCTGGCCAGTGTTTTGCACTAGAAATGTTTAATCCTCAAACCTCAGAAACACGATAGTGCAAAACTTGCATTCACTCTAACGCAATACCTGAAGCTTGAGTGGATTCTTCCTGCAGAACAGACTCCATTAAAAAGAGTGTGTCCCTCTTTCTCATTCTCTTCCACTGAGGCCTCTGGCACGTTTTTTTTGAGCAAATACTCGCACTTGGCCTCTTCCTTCCGTGTCCACCAGAGGGCGAGTGGTGTCCCTGAGACAGCTCCCAGCAGGGAGTCTGCAGCCTGGCCGTCCAGGGCTAGGGGCACCCCTTCTACAGTAGCCTGTTTATTGAAGGTTATTTGCCAGTCTCTGAGAAAATAATAACAGGCAACACTTCTGTGATGCTTCTTGTGCTGGGCATAGTGCTTAGAGTACCGGTCTACGTGCTTTGTATACTCACGTAAACCTCACCGCCAACCCCTGAGGTATTAACCTCATTTTACAGATAAGGAAAATGAAGCACAGAGACATTAAGCAAGTTGCCCAAGGTCACACAGCTTGTCAGTGGCAGAACCAGGATTCAGAGTCTATGCCCTTGACCACTATGCAACACTGCCTCTTACTTGGCATAATGTCTGACACCAAGGAAGCACTTGATAAATGGTTGGGTTTTTAAAAATTATTATTAATGCAAATTCTCATTAAGTATTATTATTTATATTGTTTTATTGTCTAATAATGAATCATTGTATTAGGATTTTAAATTGAGGCACAGAGAGGGTTAAGTAACTTGCCCAAGATCTCATAGTTAGAGAAGCACAGGAATGGGTTTCAGATAAAGCCCGTCTGATTCATAAAGAGAGCATGTTCAGGACGCCTGGGTGGCTCAGCTGGTAAAGCATCCGACTTCAGCTCAGGTCACAATCTTGTGGTTCGTGAGTTCGAGCCCCGCATCAGGCTTTGCTGCCAGCTCAGAGCCTGGAGCCTGCTTTGGCTTCTGTGTCTCCCTCTCTCCCTGCCCCTCCCCTGCTCAAGCTCTGTCTCTCTCTCTCTCTCTCTCTCTCTCTCAAAAATAAACATTAAACAATTTTTTTAAAAATAAAAAAAAGAGAACATGTTCTCTGTGCTCATTTCATGCCTGCTCAGTTGGCAAAATTTTCCTTTTTTTTTTTTCATGAGAACGTCCCAGTGGGCAAGGTTGTGGTGAAATAGGTCCCCTGTTGGCAAGTGCATTGATGTATGTCCCATCTGCACAGCCACCTGGAAGTGGACTACAAGGACCGCAGGGGCACTTATTGTCTGCTCAGCAGGCCCCCCTGGGCACTGGGCACTGTCCTAAGGAAGGGTCTTCTAGAAGATGCAGCTGGGTTCAGCTGAGCTGAGGGGCTAAGGACCTTGGGGTCCTGGGGATCAATGGCTTGGAGCATCTGAAAACTCCATTTGCCCTCTTGATTTAGACTTGGTCGGGCCCTGAGGAATTTATAGAATCTATCGTTGATGGGGGCGCCTGGGTGGCTCAGTCGGTTAAGCGTCCGACTTCAGCTCAGGTCACGATCTCGCAGTCTGTGAGTTCGAGCCCCGCATCGGGCTCTGTGCTAACAGCTCAGAGCCTGGAGCCTGCTTCCGATTCTGTGTCTCCCTCTCTCTCTGACCCTCCCCCATTCATGCTCTGTCTCTCTCTGTTTCAAAAATAAATAAACTTAAAAAAAAAAATTAAAAAAAAAAAAAAAAAGAATCTATCGTTGATGTTGCCTGGGAGGCCCGTGCCCCCCGCCCCCTAGCCTGTCTAGCCAACTCTCGTGTGAAACTGTGTACTTAACCCATCCAGGGCTAGAGCCCCACGTGGTTTGGGGCCCAGTACGAGTAGCCATTCTCATGTGTCCAGGGCATTCCATCTGAGCCCTGTGACACCCCTTCAAATGAGGCAAGGCAGGGATTACCACCCCCTTCGCTAGATACATACCTTGGCATGTGCTTCATTGTGGAAGATGTGGATCCAGAAGGCAGGCTGTTGCCCTGTGATGTATCAGTGGAACGACCCAAATCCTGCCCACTCTGAAACCCTGGCCAACAGAGTTTCCAGGAACTCTGACAGCCCCCAGGAGCTCTGTGGGGGAAGCTCTCTTGAGATGGATGGATGGATGGATGGATGGTGGATGGATGGGCAGATGGATGGATGGATGGATGGATAGACAGACAGATAGATAGGTGATAGATAGAAATCTTGTAAGTCTCTTCCTCCCTTTAACCTCCCCACCTGTTGGTGGGTATGAACCCATGCAGTGCATTTTGGCAGTTGCTATCCAAATTACAAATGCACGTATCCTCTGATCCAGCAATTCCACTTCTAGAAATTGGCCCTTTAAAAACCCTGAAACCTTGGGTGTACGGTATAATTTATTGCAGTCAGTGTTGTAAAAGCAAGAGATTGGAGGGCTCCTGGGTGGCTCAGTTGGTTAAGCATCCAACTTCTGCTCAGGTCATTAACTCACGGACTGTGGGTTGGAACCCTGCGTCGGGCTCTGTGCTGACAGCTCGGAGCCTGGAGCCTGCTTCGGATTCTGTGTCTCCCTCTCTCTCTGCCCCTACCCCACTTGCACTCTGTCTCTCTCGGGGGAAAAAAAACAGCCAAGCAAACAAGCATGAGACTGGAAATGCCTTCAATGTCCATCAGTTTGAGGACAGGTTAAGCAGATTGGGAACACTTACATGCTGCCACAAAAGAAACAAAAAGAAAAACAAAAGCCTCTGCTCTAGAGCTATCTCTAGGACACATTGTTAAGTGAGAAAAAGAAAGGTGCATAGGAGAGTGTAGATGCGCTGGCAGCCTTTGTAGAACTAGGGAAGTCATATATCTGCATTCAGTAGGTTATGTATGGACTATCTGGACAGATACACAAGAAACTGAGCGCTGGTTGCCCCTGGGGAGAACTGGGTGCCTGGGGGATTCAGGTGGGAGCGGACCTCGCATTCTACACCCTTTTTGTACCTTTTAAAAAACATAAATGTTCATTTATTTATTTTGAGAGAGAGAGGGGGGAGAGAGAGAATCCCAAGCAGGCTCTGCACTGCCAGCACAGAGCCAGATGCAGGGCTCGATCCCATGAACCAGGAGATCATGACCTGAGCCCAAATCAAGAGTCTGAGCTCATCTGACTCAGCCACCCTTTGGTACCTTCTGAACACCAGCGCATGTGAATGCTTCGACAATTCAGAAATAAAGTAGACTAAGTCTCCCTGCCTGCCCTTTGCCCACACACCCTGCAGGCAGGCTGCAGCACCACCCGGCTGCCTGGCGATGGACAGATGAACCCTGGAGACGCGAACCTGCAGGAGCCGCCCTCTTACCCTCCCGTTCAGGTCATCCGGGCCCGCGTGTCTTCCAGCAGCTCCTGTGAAGTCTCCTCCATCAACTCCGACCTTGAGGTACTCACACGCTGCTGCCTGCCAGGTGCATGGCTTGTCCTTCACTGACACTTGCCGGGGCTTCCACGGTGCTCGCGCTGCTGTGCCCTAATCCGCCCACGCTGGCCTCCCGCCTGCCAAGCAGTGAAGGGGCGTGCATGGGGCAGCGCCCACGCGGGGTGTGTTGAGAAGAGGTTTCCACGGTCAAATGAGTCAGGGAAGCACTGCATGTCACGGTCCCATCTTAAAGAGTCACCCGCATGTTCAGGTCTTACCAAAATAAACACACAAATAATTAACGTTTATTAGAGTCTGGGTGTTCCCCAAACCCACTTGACCGTGGAGCATCCCTTCCAGAGAGGAGCAGCAGCTACACCTGCGGTGTCCTCAGGGTCATACACAGGAGCCCCGTGGTGGACACCATGCCTGGCACTGTCATCATTTTGAGTTTTTGGATCTGTGAGCAAGACACATGTCATATTTTGGATGCCAGCGACAGGTGTAACTCCCGGGTCCGAGCTCTTGGGTCACTGCCTGTCCCCCAGCTGTGGCTCCCAGCCCTGTTCTGTGAGGAAGTTTCCTGTTGTGGAAGATGAGAGCAAGGACAGGGTAGTGGGCACATGATGTCAGCAGGAGAGTGTCCCCTGTCTTTTGGCAGGGGTTGATGGGTTTGCGTTCTACTATTTTGGAGTTCAAATGCCCTTTTATAAAATGATGATAATAGTAAGGGGGTGGTTGGTGTTGGTTTTAATGGCCTTATTTTGCAAAACAGCCACTTCGCCATCTTGGATAAGCCCCCAAACTTGTTGAACTCGTTGTGAAACCCCAAATCCAAAAGACTCAGAGCCACTGATCTGGGGGATAAAGTCCCGATTTGTTAATGTGAGGTTCTAGACCTTTCACAACTACCCCAGACTTGTGTGCCTTGCCCACCCACCCCTCCCCACTGCCCTAGCTGTCCACCTTGGTCATGGACTGTTCCCTGTACCCAGGCTTTCTTCCTGGGGTTTTCCCTGGCCCGTGTGTCAGTTTCTCTTTCCATGTGTCAGAATCCTACTCAGATGCCACCTGCTGTGTGAAGTTACTTCCATCCCGCCAAACTCTCTCTCACACACACACACACACACACACACACACACACACACAAGATTAATGGCTCTTTCCCTTGGGTGCCAGAGCACACACGACTCTCTTACACAACTTCCATTGTTCGCCGTGTCATCTGGTGAGCTGTAGCGGCTTGTTCCCCGGCCAGGCTGGGCATGAGCTTTTTAGGAGTGGGGCCTGAGCCACCTTCACCTTCCTCTGCCCCTCGATTCCAGAACACAGCTAGCCATTAAGAGCTGGGTTTTGAGGGAGCAATTCTGCACCAGACTGAGGACCCTTTGGGGTCCGTGTTTCCCCATGTCACTCGGTGTTGTTTATTTCTTGGATCCAGTCTCAGAATCTGTAGGACACCCAGCGCACGTGGCTTGGCAGCCTGGATCCAGCGGCCTTGGCAGAAATCTAAGGTTCAAGTGGAAAGAATGAGCCTGAGGGCAAAGTGTGTTCAGTGAGAAGAAAGGACAGTTAAGTCAGTGAGTCAGGGAGGGGCTGGGGAGACCCAGAGGCAGTATTTGCTCTGTGGAAACAAGGGCAGCAAAAGCTGAGGTAAGGATCAGACAGTGACCTTGAACCGTTGGGAAGTTGGTCTTGGCGGCAGGTTTATGCCCTTCTGTGATTTGTGGTCCTTGTCCTTCTCCCTTCTAGTATCTCTTTTTAGACATCCATGTTTTTCAAACTAAATAAGTTCCAAGGGGACAGGGTCACGCTTTTATTTATTTATTTATTTATTATTTTTTTTTTTTTTAATTTTTTTTTCCAACGTTTATTTATTTTTGGGACAGAGAGAGACAGAGCATGAACGGGGGAGGGGCAGAGAGAGAGGGAGACACAGAATCGGAAACAGGCTCCAGGCTCTGAGCCATCAGCCCAGAGCCCGACGCGGGGCTCGAACTCACGGACCGCGAGATCGTGACCTGGCTGAAGTCGGACGCTTAACCGACTGCGCCACCCAGGCGCCCCAGGGTCACGCTTTTAAATTAGGCAAATGGGGGACTCCTGGGTGGCTCAGTCAGATGAGCATCTTACTCTTGGTCTTGGCTCAGGTCATGGTCTCGTGGTTCGTGGGATTGAGCCCTATGCTGGGCTCTGTGCCAACAGCACAGAGCCTGCTTGGGATTCTCTCTCCCTCTCTCCCTGCTCCCCCCACCCCAAATAAATAAATACACATTAACAAGATAAATTAGGCAAATGGAAATGAAGGCTTTTGCCCATGCTAAAAGGAATGTATGTTTATAAAGTCACCTGCCCTAGCTCAGCCCGCAGAACAGCCCTCCAGCCCCACTCAGGGCTTTCCAGAGTGGCCTTCTCGCTTTCCGGGGCAGCCAGTACCTGTGTGCTGAGCGCCGGGTGGACTTTCTTCCAGCGTTGAAACCGAAACCGTTCCTGTGCTTTTTAAAGGCTTTTTCTTTTTCTTTCTGCCTCTGGGATGCAAGCAAAGATTTGAGTCCAGCTTTGTGATGCGAGAGTGCTTAGTCATTTCTCCCTGCTGTGCTTCCTAGCAATGCCATAGACCTGGTGGAAGAAGCTTTGTAGAAATTTTGCAAGAAGGCTGTTTCTGTCTATGGAACAAAGTCTGTGTTGTGTGTACATGTGTGGAGGATGAGAAGAGGGCCAAACACAGACTGCTGTCTCTGAAGAAGGTCAGGTCCTTGTGTGTTCCTGCTAATTCTGTGCCTAAGTCTCTTGACAACCAAGATCGCTCGTTCCCTCTCCAAACCCTGCCTTTGCACCAGGAACGAGGACACATTCCTTTGGATGTTTGCCATTTTTAAATCCAAGTCATTCTTTTAAGGAAAAAAAAAAAATATATATATATATATATATACACACACATATGACATATAGTTATATATTATATATGTAATAGAATATAATTAAATAAAAAGATTTTAAATATATATTTTATATACATTTATATTTGTGTACACATTTATTACATATATTTTTATAAATATATATTTATATAGGCTATAAAAGTGCTAACTTTAGAAGAAAATACATACAAATATGAAAGACGCCAGAAATAGGTACCAAAGGTCAAAATCAAGTCCAGGAGGGGGCACCTGGGTGGCTCAGTCGGTTAAGCTTCTGACTTCCGCCCAGGTCATGATCTCACGATTTGTGAGTTCAAGCCCCACGTCGGGCTCTCTGCTGACAGCTCGGAGCCTGGAGCCTGCTTCGGATCCTGTGTCTCCCTTTCTCTCTGCCCCTCCCCTGCTCATGCTCTGTGTGTCTCTCTCTCTCAAAAATAAATAAACATTAAAAAAATAATAATAATAAAAAAAATCAAGTCCAGGATGTGGTTTTACACCCTCCATGCATCTGGGTCTTTCCCAGAGGGGGGCGCCACCTGCAGTGAGGCAGTGAGAAACAATACTTCCTGAAATGTGTGGTCAGTTACCTGGTTTCCCCCCGGGGTGAGCAGAGAGGCTCCCCGGAAGGCCCCCAAAGGGAGACAGGCTGTGGAGGAGACCCAGCCCTGACCCAGGAACCACACAGGCTCGGGGGTTTTGACTTGCAGCCTGCACCGGACCTCCTGAGTTTTAGCTTCTCCTGTGCATAGGTATCCTGAGACTTGCCCTACCTGTGTTGCAGGGTGATTGGGAAGATCAAATGGGTGCAACTGGTGCTTTGCAAGACTTCCAGAGGTGCTCCACATAGCGTTGTGGGAAGCAGGCTGGGGATGGGCTCGGATATGCACTCTTAAGGCCGTGGAATTGGGTAGCACTCCTTCATTCCTCTGGCCCTTCTCTGAAGGTGGAGATAATGACTGCAGGGAGGGTGGTAAGGCTCCGACAAGGTTGGGATGTGAAGAGCACCGTTCCCATAGATGCTCACCCTGCAACCCCAGCTTCGGACCGGTCCGTCTTGAAGGTCCCACTTAGCACCATGCCCTTAAGCGTAAGAGTGTCTTTGTGGAGGGGACGCAAGTAGAGGCTAGCAGTGCCGAGTCACTTCCTAGAAGTAGGAAGGCTTCCATCGGGAAAACAAGAGTCAAACCTGTTAAAAGTATCATGATAGCACAGCCGCCCGGGCTGCTGGGTCTGCCTCGCTGCCGCCCTCGGAAAACTTCCTCTGGCCCCGAAGTCCAGGAAAGAGCCTTCCACTTCCACCGGGACCAGCGCAGGCACTCCTAACTGCCTCCTGTCTCCATTCTCCTCCTTCCATTGCTGTCCTGCCGGGATCCTTGCAACACCGGACCCCCGCCCCATGCCCGCCCTGCCCTAAGGCCTTTGTGGCTTCTACCTGCTTATAATGTAAGTCCAGCACACTTCACCTGCTGGCCTGGGCCAGCTCCCAAGTTCTTCTCTGCGTTCCTCTGCTTCTCCTCCCGCCTTTCAAGGCCCTGGCTAAATCCCGCTCCCTCCAGGAAGCCTTTCCTGTATTCCTGAGTACAGTTGCTAGATTTAGCAGACAAAAAACACAAGATGTACAGTGAAGTTTGAATTTCAGATAGACACACTTATTCTAAAACATTATTTGTGATCTGAAATTCACGTTTACTGGGTGTCCTGTGTTTTGGGGTTGTTGTTGTTTTTATTATTTTATTTTTAATTTTTTTAACGTTTATTTATTTTTGAGAGAAAGAGAGTGTGAGCAGGAGAGGGGCAGACAGAGAGGGGGAGACATAGAATCAGAAGCAGGCTCTGGGCTCTGAGCTGTCAGCACAGAGCCTGACGCAGGGCTCGAACTCATGAGCAGTGAGATCATGACCTGAGCTGAAGTCGGACGCTTAACCGACTGAGCCACACCGTCGCCCCTGTTGTTGTTGTTGTTGTTTTTAATGTTTATTTATTTTTGAGAGAGAGAGAGAGAGAGAGAACAAGGGGGGAGGGGCAGAGAGAGATGGGAACAGAGGATCTGACGCCATGTCAGTGCTGACAACAGAGAGCCCGATTTGGGGCTTGAACTCATGA